CCCTTCTCAAGGTGATCATTTGTTCATTTCCTCTCACAGAACAAGTTTTTACGCCTATTCCACACGTTTGGGGTCTGAGTCAATCCGGATGCCCAATCCCAGTCTGGTTTATTCATCCTAAAACCACATTCCATATCTGGCATCTTTGTCCTGCTGGAATACCAAACCATCTTTTTGTTTAAGCAGAATTTGGAGACAGTCCTTTGGGTTAATGTTTTAAACCGTCTCATTCAATACACTGATACCAACAACTCAAAAAACCCTCACCATGATCCTTCCACCACCATGCTTGCCAGATGGTTTAGTATTTATGAAGCTTCATTGGAGCCTACTTAGGCATCTTAAAGTTTACATTATTAATTAATTAATTATATATATGCATTTATCAAAATAGCAATCAAATTCCATTAACATTTAAATTACCAAAATTAAAATAATGAAATATCGATCCACATCATCAACTTTATAAGGATACGTGAGCTCCAGCAGTACCGTGTCAGAATGTGATCAGGTGGTCTATTTAATTGTTCCCTCGCCAGGTTTCTGTTAGTTGATAGGAATGTGAATAATTGTATTAAAAATTGTATATAATACTACAGCACATAATTTGCATCATCACTGATTTTTGATGTTGGCAAATAATGCATCGTTTTCTCCGCAGGCAGCGAGTTGGGTAAGATGGTAGAAACCCAGATAGTTTGGCATTCCATCCAGACAGTGATCTTAAATATCATCAGAAGTTGGTATAAAAGAAATAAAAGAAGCTAATATGAAGCTTCTAAAATTCTCAGACTCTAGAAACCAACCAGTTTACATGAGTCCCATCATTTCTGTCTATGCAAGACAGGCAGGGGGCCCTCTGAATTGAGAAGACAACACATTAAACAGACCCATTATACAGATACAGATATTTAAATAGAATAGACATACATTATTTGTTTTACGTTTTGTCCCTTACTTATTGTCCCTTTTCTTGTTTTCCTCTATATGTTTTTTACTCTTTTGAACTGTTCATGCTGTCTCAAAAGGAATTAAAGTTTTTTAATATTACCTTATATTATAAGCGTTCTGATGGCATTTTAGCAAAAGGATTTTTATTAAAAACATAATGTGCACAAATAGGGGATAGTGTTTTATGGGGCCCCCAGGAACTTGGGGCACTAGGCAACTGCCTAGTATTGCCTAATGGTCAATCCCCGCTGGGTTAGGGCATAGGGCTTGGAATCATGAGGTTCTGGGTTTGAGCCCCACTCCCACATACTGCCACTCTGGGTCTCTGAGCAAGACCCTTAATCCCTGATTGTTCCCCGGGCGCCACACGATGGCAGCCCTCTGCTCCCCCAGGGGATGGGTTAAATGCAGAGGTAAATTTCTCCAATGTGAGATCAATTAAGTTCAGTTATTATTATTATTATTATTATTATAAATATCCAACCACAAATATGAAAAATGCCCATTTAGGTCAACAAAGAAATGTTTTGTTTGTTTTAAAAGTTCCTAAATGATTTTAAAACATCTCTAACTGGGGTTCTATGTTTTTTTATCCATATCTTTGACTCTTTGTTTCCGATTACCAGTCAATCTGCCAAAACATGTACAAAATTCATCTTGATCCTCGTGGTTTGTTTCCTAAACAACCCTGGTGATGGCATGATGAGGTCACCAGGCTTCACTTTGTCTACGCACCCCTCAGGTTTCAAACTGTAGTGCAAGAGTGAACTGAACAGAATGGAGCTGCAGTTTCAGAAAAGCTTTTCGCTGAAGACACCAATAAGAGAGGTTGAAGGTGGAGACACCTGCACACACCAAGTGACTAAACGATGGCGGATCTAGATATGTCATCATCGTATTCTCAATCACACAGGAGCAAATCTAGGGAGGTCAGAGGTCAATAAATCAATTCTCAACCTTCAGCTGTTACAACGGCTCTTCCTGCCGCGTCATCCTCATCACTCTGCTTTTGTGCAGTCTCCATAACAACAGTTACTATGGCATCCAGTGCCTGTAAGTGAGGAGGTTTCCAGGTGCAGAGAGGCTGTGAACCATAGGAAGCGGGTAAAAAACTGCATGCATGTGGGGAGTTACTGAATGGTTTACGGTAAAGTGATCCGCAGACGCCCCAATAAAAGATAACAGGACTCTGGGTGTTGTTTTTACAGCACTTCCTTTATTGTATACTTCCACTCAGGGACTGGATGAGGAAGAGAGCAGCTATAAAGTTGAAGAAGTATCTGTGAAAACAGTCCTCATCATAGCCCAACCCTAAATTGAGGATTTGCTATCAGCAGCTTGGTTATATTTGAGCATTTCGCTCATCTTTTTCCCCCCGTTTTTTGTTCCATATTTGGATCAAACTGAAGAAGAAGTGAGGCGGGGCTGTCATTTCAATTGCAGATTCTGATCTTTTCTGGCTTTACTTCTATTACATAAAAATACATGAGCTCACTGTTTCACTGACAAGTTCAGCGAGGACGCCGTCTCACATTGCTTACTGATCAGCCTTTGAAGCTAAGATGGGATAAGATCTACTTCTGTATTTTAAAGGATTAGTATGTATAAATAATCTTTGTGGGTTTCTGATTCAGTGTTCAAAGTAAAAACTGACTCTTTTCTTGTCTGTATACTAAACATGGAGCTAAAATAAGCATCAGTTTAGAGTCACTGAAGATGTTTTACCTTCTTTTTTTTTTTGAAAAATCAGCTTTTTGATAAAGCAGATCAGGCTGAAAATATGTCTTTATCTTTATATCTGGAAGACATGATATATTACTATAAATAAACAATGGTGGCCATACTTATTTGTACCTCTGATTAAGATTATTTGAACATTGATTGGTACTGCTCCAGTCGTTAACTTATGTCCTGTCCTGTTCAAACACCAATATGTAACTGTTTTGTTTTGTCTTTTCAGTTTCTATTTCCCAATGGAGTCTAGCAAGGTTCCTGGAAGCCCACAGCATCACTGATCCATTTACCAGTGGATGTGAGGTGCTTTCCCACATATTTTCCTTTCCTTACCCATCATGATTAGATGTAGTTTTAAAGGTATAGTGGAGGATTTTATTTTTCTGGGTGGAGCATCTAAATAAGTGGTCCTAATTATCAATCATTCTGGTGATATGTTTACATAAGGCCATCCTACGTGCTGGCCCCCATTTGCACTTAGAGGTGGTGAGTCTGACGTAGTGGAAAAAATGCAAATCTTCTTTTGGAAAGTAAGCTTGAATGAGCTATGAGAACAGCAACTTTTAAACAGAGCGTACATGAGGAGAAAATGGGCTCTTGCATGTGGGAGTTGGTACAGGGTTGTGCATGTAAATTTTTTGGAAAGTGGAAAGGGCGGGTCTTTTCAAAAATTCCAGAAAATCCTCCAATATACCTTTAAGCTCTCAATTTGAATCTCCTCTAAACAAACACTGGGATCCATTTAAAGATCTCTAGATTTTTGCAATGTCCAAATATCTGATGGTATGACAGATTCCAACAGTTCCAACAGTTGGTATGGATACATGGTGACCACAAGGCTTTTTCTTTTCTTTTTTTGTCACAGTTCTCCGTACCTCTTTTAATTTTTCTTTTACCTCCCTCAGGGGCAGAGCTAGATGGGGGCCCAGGGGTGGCCATGGCCACCCTTAGCAAATCATTGGCTATCCCTGTGTCCAACCCTGACATTTTTTTCCGCTAATTCAGATGGTGGCGGCAGTAATACTCTCAAGTGGAATATTAATTTTCATTTTTCATACATTACTTACCATTTTTTCATAATTACTTGACAACAAAAACACTGTGGTTAATTATACACATCAATACACTAACATTAAAGATGATAAGTACATGCTCTTTTCAGAACTAGATTTTGTGTCATGTCATCTAGGAGTCTTCAGTGAAATCATAGATAAATAACTATTTTTATAAAAACGTATTAAATAATCAATTTATGTAGATATTAGTACATGTAAATATCAATTTTATGCAAAATGATTATTGATACAGGTAAGTAAGTAATGACAATGGAAAAGATGTTCGACCCGGCACTCAAACCTGAAATAATTTTATCCACTATAACTTTTATCTAGAAAGCATGGATGTTTAAATATATGCATTTATTTGTTAGTAAAGGCTGTAAGAAAGTATAGTTAGTCTTATCTTTGGCTTGACCCTGAGGTTCTGGTGTCTATCCACATTTCGCCACCCCTCAGTGTACATTGGTTAGTGCCTGGCCACCATTTTTAAAGTTTTCTGGCTACGCCTCTGACCTCCCTTGCCATCCTGCTGTAGTAACAAGATAAAACTATGTTTTTTTGTCCAGCCTAGTTCCAGATGGTGGGTACTGATAATATCAGGGTGGTGCATTATATGCATATTTATCAGAAATGTGAATTTTATTTTGCTCTCATTACATGTAGGAGAAGCTAAGCCTTACAATTTAGACAAGGTACATAAAGAATGAAAGAAAAAAAAGAAATATTTTTCTTCTTTATTTGATTTATCTTCTGGAATCAATAACATATTTTAAACTGAATTTAATTCATTAAAATAATATGTTTATGTTAGGACTATCTGACCAGGAGAACAAAGAGGGCAGGGGAGCATATTAATCAAAATCACTTGAGTTATATTTATTTCAAAGATAATTTTGGGGGGCTACTGATATTTTTGCAACTTATAATAAAGAAAGATATAGCTTAATTTTTTGTAAGAAATATCTTTTTAGTGTGGAGGTATTCCAGATATTCTTAGAGCTTACGAGAAAAAATGCTTAAATATAGTTGAAGAAAATAAATCATGATTAAGTGAAAAACTTTAAAAACGGAATTTCACCATGGATATATGATCTCAGTAACCTTGTCCGTGTGTCCCTCCTCAATCCCCATCCTCTGTCCCTCCTCTGCACACTGCTCTTATTCTCTGCGCGCTCCCGTCTCCGCGGGCACGCTCGTTGGGGGCTTGGCCCTCCACGCAACAGAAAAGGGGGCGCGCCCGCTTTAAAGCAGCGCGCTGTCCAGCGTCGATGTGTCGCAGATTTTAAAAACTGAGGCAGGAGAGCAGCTGGAGTTTCTGCACGAGAGGAGGCGCATCAAGCTTAGCGGAAAAAAACTGGCACAGTCGGTGGGGCAAGCGTGGAAAAACACACTTGACGAGCCGTATGCTTTTTTTTCCTCTTTTAAATCAGTCCGTCCTTCTTTTCCACCCGAATTGTACTACTTGGCTCCCGCAGCTCGGGAAGTAAACAAGCAGAGATCCAGTTGAGTCCTGTTTGGAGCGCTGCGATGGAGCTGTCATCTATTGGAGAGCATGTGTTCGCTGTGGAGTCAATTACGAAGAAGAGAATCAGAAAGGTAAGGAACGCACCTGCAGATTTAAAACAAAATCCGATAGAAATAAAATATTTTATGTATTTATATAAAAATATGGCTTAATATTTTAACGGATTTCCCTCCGGAACAAACTGCGCTATAACAATGTGCGGAGAAAAACGTGAAGGCTGATGCATTTAATGCATCTGCGACAAAGTTTGACACAGTTTGAGCCCCTGAGAGCTGCGCTGTGCAGCGGCTGGGCTCCTGCGGCATGGCCATGTTTTGGGGAGCCTACGCAGTTGTAGTAAAATGGGAAGAAAGGGGGTGTGCGTATCTTTTTAAAGCGAGGCTGCAGCTCACTTTATATTATTTACGCCAGCGCGCGGACTGGATGCTCCTATTCAGTGTTGTGAATGCAGACTGATTTTTATTACAAATCATCTCTCTTTGTCTTTAAGCTCATGACCTCTAAAAAAAAAATAAAATAAATAAAAAAAAAACGCATCAAAGTTAAATATGCAATATAATTCCACTGTTTTTAATATTTTAATGCCAATATTGTTCTCTGATCGCTTAAGAATGACTTATATCTCACGTGAGCCGTGTTTTTATATTATATATTTATTTTTATTTTATTATAATTTTTTTTTATTAATGATATTTATTTTGCTACCATCACTCCGATAACAAGTTTCCGATGTGAACGTTGCGCAACATTACTTGTTTACATGTTCCCGCGTGGCCCCACCTATCCAAGCCACCTGTGTAATGTTCTAGAAAGTGGCCTGCATGGTGGAAACAGCGCTCGTAGAACGTGCACGTCATCGCAATGCGAGCCCACGGCCGCTGATTGGATGCGACGCAGCCCCCCCGCCACTGACGTCAGCCTGCAGAAAGAAACAAACGTGGAGAGAGAAGTTTACTAAGCTCCTATGAGCAGCTCCCAATCTGCCGCAGTTCAATAAAAAATACCCTTTTAGCTCATAATGGTGTGTTCTTATTTAATAAAAGAAAAAATGAAATAATTTAAGGGGAAATAAATAAAAAGCCTCTTTTTAGCAGATCTTCTATTGGTTGCCATGTTGCAGGAAGGATAAAATGTAATAGATTTATTCATAACGAGGTTAATATGTGATAGTTAAAACGAAATTGGAAACAAATCTCTTATTTGTAAAAGCAGATTAAATGTTCTCATAACTACTTAAATGGATCAAAGTTATTTTAAAAGATCATATGTGAATTTCATTAATGAAATAATTTTAAAAAATATCAGAAGACAATAGTAATTGTTTCACTATTGAACTGTTTCAAATGCTGCATCATCTTAGGTGTCAGTTTTATTACGTAGAGTTAAAGGGGCAGTCCTCCCACTTCTCTACCAAATAGTCCAAAGTGGGTTTAACCAATCAAATGTTAGGATGTATTTGATGAGCTATGCTGATACTTGTGCACCATGGTGCCACTAAAATCCTGAAAAGGTTTACATTTGCATTTATTGCATGAGTTTCAAATATTTTTTTATAGATTTCAGTATTCCTGAACATATTTGGAGTCTAATTCCAACAGTCTTAATGCTCCTCCTTCCCTCGGTCCACATTTAAAGCGACAGCCACCGCATTTGTCATGCAGTGGTGTCAGCTGCACACAGGAATGCATTTAAATGGTAGGTTTACTGAATGCGGTCCCTCCTCTAATGCACCCCTCCCCTCTCCTTCTCTCTCTTCAGGGTCATGTGGAGTATCTACTGAAATGGCAGGGATGGCCCCCAGAGTGAGTAATCCTTGAGTCATCCCCAGACCTCATCAAATCCAGATATACTTAGAAACTTTATGAGATTGTGTTTAGTGATACTCATGCACCATGTTTATCATTCATAGAAAGATGGATAGATTGATAGTCATTAAGTTTATTTGTATTTGCAGGAACAGCACTTGGGAACCAGAGGACAACATTTTGGACCCTCTCTTGGTCATGGCTTACGAAGAGAAGTGAGTAATGATGGAGGCATTTTTGGTTTCTGTTTTTTTTTTTTTTCCTCACAGTTTGGTGTCTGTAATTTCTCTTTCCCTGACCTCCACCTCTACTCTGCATCTTGTCTTTCTGCAGTCAGGAGAAGCTCAGGTCTCTGAGCTTTCGAAAGAAAGGTCTCAGACCCAGAAAGCTGGTGCTGCGGGTAAGGACTCCTAGCTTCTGTCATAGAGCTTAAATATTCTTCCGTTAACCAAAGGCTGCTGTGTTTAAAGCAAATTATTTCATACAAGTAAAAACATTTCTTTAGTAGTCGGAGCAATGTGGTGTTGTACTATGCATAGTTTGCAGGAAGATGAATGAGCAAACTGTTCCTAATTTACTAATTTCTATGTTTATTTATTTGTATTTAATCATAATCAGACTTTTTCAAACAAAGGCTTTAAATAGGATTATATTGGCTCGTGTATAAGGTTAGCTTTACCTTTCAAACTATAGATTTGGACACATTAGAAATAATCATAAAAAAACTGAGAAAGTTTGCTAATGCTAAAGATTTTATAGTATTATTTTTTATTATTATTATCATTATTATACTAGTTTAAAGAGACTGTTTTATTTGATCATTTGTTTCAGTGGATCAAGTTCTGTAGAGTGTCTTTACCTACTTTCCTATTTTACTTTTTTATTTTTGGTTCAGAGTTTGCTTTTGAATCGAAATACTCTAATTGCAAACGCAGATTAAATCATAAACTAATTTTATTATCATTATAAAGATTCCAAACCAAGGCATTATTTTTAAGCCGATACAGCCCTGTTTACATCACCATGGCAACCATTCGGTTGTTATGGAAGCGGTTTTGGTTTCTTTGAGTAGTTTATCTTTTTTTAGTGAAGTTGGATCCAGCTTAAACTACTGATCTTCAAGCAGGTAGGAAGTCAGGAAGAAAGGGCTGAAACATGTGCACCCTTACATTCACCACTGCTCTGCTGCTTAAACTAAGTTTAGTAATATATTAATGGAAGTTGAAAGAGTGTTTTGCATCTGGAATGTAGAAAAGCAGTTTTGTAAACCAGCAATCATTGTTCCCCTGCTGATCCTGTGGCTGGTCTTCTGCAGAACATCTTTGGTATGGACCTCCGGAGCGCCCACAAGGATGATGAGAAGCCACCGCCCCGCCTGCGCCTGTCCCTCACCAGATCCATGAGCACGGACGTGGAGCAGGCGTGTCGGCGCCAAGCCAGGAGGAGGAGCAGACAAAGAATGACCAAAGTCTACTCAAAACACTCAAAGTCCTTCCATGGGCAAAAGATGAAGTTGGGGCTGATGGAGAAGGATTGGGGCGGGACCAGTGAGGAGGAGAAGAATGGATGTGACAGCAACACTGAAGAAAGATGTGGAGACAGCTTATATGGTCAGTTCACCAAGCTTTGGATTAGGCTGCAGAACATATTAGATGTGATCTGTATGTATAGCAACCTTTTTTTTTTTTTTCCCTTTTCCCTATAGGTCAGTCAGAGTGCAGCTCTACTCCGTTCCTGGAGGAGGAGGACATGGACATGGAGGAGGAGGAGAAGAATGTTAGCCCAGATCTGTGGCCCAATGGAGTAATCTTTGCTACCATTCCAAATCACACAAATGCGCTGGAGCAATCAAAAGACAACACCTTGGCATCTGAGGCCAAACCAGAAGGTTTGGTTTCCCCGAGTGGCAGGTCACACTCGGCAGAGGCCAAAGGTGTGGAGGCCTGTTCAGAGCCTCCAAAGGAGGAGAAGAAGAATGCAACCTCAGTGATAGTGAGGTTCCAGGGGTTCGGCAAGACGGCGGGCGAAGCCGTCTCTGTCCCCCACGAATCTGAGCTGAAGAAGAATGAAGCGAGAAGCGACAATCAGAGCGTCATCGTTACAGCCTCCGAGCGTCCCAAAGGTCCAACCGAAGCGCCACGTCCGGGGAAGGTGATTGTGACGAACGTGACGGTGAACTCTTTGACTGTGACTTTTAAGGAAGCAACCGGGGCAGAGGGTTTCTTCAACGGCTTCTAAACAACGAGAATGAAATGAGGAGAGGGATCAACATAACCCATAGTTAGACTTGCCGCTCATGGTGAAGTACATAACGCAAGATAATAGTGTCTGTGAGGTCATTCCACATGATTTTAAATGAGTTCTGTAAGACATCATTGCCTTGGAATAAAAGTTAGTGGTGATTTTATTATTATAGTGGCTCATTTATTATGTGTGACAGGAAATGATGCACTGCAGTCCAGCAGATTAGACCGATCTTGGTGGCAGAGGTCATCCCTATATTAGCTGGGTTTACCCCACAGCAGGAGAAGGCAGCCTAAAAGAAAAACCCACGTTTACAAACCAACTTTGATGCAGCTACTGTTCTAGTGCTTTCCAGCAAGACCTAATTCAGGCCTGTTTGCAGTCCACTTTTTTTAACGAGGTAAAAGAAAAAAACTATTTTTTTTGTAAACGTCGCTCTCTATCTGGCACAGAGCTACCCGCATGCCCCATCAGTCTGCGCCACATACGCACGCAGCTCTCCGCCGTGCTTTGTCGGAAGGGGTTTATTTCTGTAACAAAAGAAGAGATCCAACAAAAGATGCCGGATTATATTGCCTCGCGCTCATACTGGAGCCGTGCATCTAAAGGAGGTCGGAGACACAAAAGGAAACGCACGGTCGTGTTTGCTGTCTTTTCGTCCTTTAACTTTCTAAGTTTGAAATGCTACCTGGTTCTATTTTTGTATTACCAATTGATAGTCCGCTCTTTTCACTGGCTTTTGTGCATAACAAAAGAGGAGGTATCAATTTAGGACGTTGCTTCTGAGCTGCGTAGGGTGATGTACAAATGGAAGCAAATGTACTTTCAGTCAAACTGTAGTTGGCTATTATTTATTGCATGTCACTTGTATAAACTAAACTAATTTATGTCTCTTGATGTGTCTTGATCTTTCTCTCTTTAACAAAGATGGATTGTCAAACATGTCTTCTCCCTCTCCCAAAAAAATTTCTATTTGTCTGCATTTTCAATAAATGTCTATAAAAAAAAGAATGTCTTGTTGCATATTTTTCTTGGGTGTTTGGAATATAAGTACAGCGCCTCCTGTTCACATAGAGATTGGATTGAAAACTAGCATCTGTACTGCTATAGGAAGTAATCTTTAGAATAAATATTCTCTAAATTCCACTTTTTTTTTCAAAAACAAAAAATTCTGATAGAGGAAACAGCAGCTCTAAAAATCCCAGTGACTTGTCAGCAAGGAGGGATTGCTGAAAGAGGAATAGTGTATTACTGAGTATTACCACTAGAGGGCATACTGTCATTATGGTGAGAGACTTTTCTAGAGCTCCACATGTCATTCATGCTGGGGTGCTCTGCTCCGGCTGGAGGAGCAGATGATCCACAATGCAAACAGAGTTTAAAATGAAGGATCCCTTCTTTTGTTATTTGATAATTTCTTTATTGTTTACTATGTTGCTTCCGGGGCTGTGTCATTCCTTCTTTGTGTGATTTTTTTTTCCCCCCCTCCCTATCTCTTCATTCCAATTTGTGTGACTAACTGCAGCCATCACATACTCCCCTCTACACGAGAGTGCAATGCAGTTATCCTTGTCGGGAATGTGGTTGATGGTGAATCGGAATGCCTAGATTGCCAGGTCTGATCCTACCCTTTGTCTCCTTCATTTTCTCTATTCAGGAAAGAGGCTGGTGGTAAACTCCTCTCTAAGAAGGCAATGTTGAGAGGAATTCAGGGCTTATTTTATTAGCCAGTACTTCTTTCTTGTCTCATACTTTCTTTGAGGCTGATAAAAGCCTCTGGATGAAGCTCAGTGGGCAATGTCTACAAAAAAAAAAAAAAAAAAATGTTCCCAAACTGCATAGTCTTATGAAAAGTAGGACTCTGCAGGACTTGCCTGTTAGGCGACTGTCGCAGGTCCTGAAAAGCCATGTTAGCTTCTCCTTCCAAATGTTCCAATTAGACCATTGTGAATCAGTCAATGATAGAATCCCGCCATAACCAAAAAAAATTATCAGTTTTCTAGAACAGGACTCAATCCCTGCAATTAGATTTACTTGAGGTTTTATCACCATTCCCAATGACGAACCCAATTTACTCAGTTTCAGTCTTTCCAATGCCACACTTCAATGGAGAAATGGTCAACTCTGAAGACACTTCAGCCCCTTCTCCAAATGCTGCAGGTGTTTCCTAGGGACTGAAGAGTCACAGAGCAATAGGGTACATGTAGGCAGGGGGGGGTTTAGGAAATTTGGGGCCCTAGGCAAAGACAGGCAGGGGGCCCTCTGAATTAAGAAGACAAAACATAAAACAGACCCATTATACAGATACAGAAATTTTTATACAATAGACATACATTATTTGTTCTACGTTTTGTCCCTTTTCTTGTTTTCCTCTGTTTTGTACTCCGCTGACTTTTCATGTCGTTTCAAAAGGAATGAAACTAAGCTTGCTTAACCGATTGCTCCTTACTGTGTTTCCAAAAAGGCGACAGCAAAAGTAAATAACCCAGTCCTTCTTTCCACTGTAGACAAGCTATGATCTGCTAATCTGTTCTCCATTTTTCATTTGTATGAAATAATAGCTGCATGAATCATGACAGTGGACAAGATAGAGGAGAGCAGGAGGCAGGGTTACCAATCTACTTGCTCTGAAGAGCAGAGTTCACTGTTCATCTCTCTCAACTTGTCGTAGTTACTTTCGAGCATAATGGGCGATCTCGCAATCGCTAGTTTGTTGGCTCTGCGCTGCCGTAGCGCAAAGATGTCTGCCTCCATGGCTGTGAGACCCGCTCCTATACAATTATAAATAACGAATCTTAAGGCAACACAAATATTAAGGTTAAGAGGCTGAGCTCGTAGATGATGATAAATAACATAGTTATGTATAATATATTACATTTCTGACTGTATATCCCTGTAATTATTACACACTGTAGCTTTAAATCTGGCCCACAGTCAGTTCTTTGGAGTGCACAGTCAGTGGTACCTGCTAATAACCTAGATCGGTGGTTGTTCGAGCTCAACCACCCCAATAAAACAAGGAGATGGCGATACAAGATAGGTGGCACCACTCACTCTTTTATGGTTCAAAAGTTACTAGGGACAGCATCGGTTTTATGTTTTTACCATCTTTGCTTTACTAAGGTTTTCTGAAACATTATGTGGAAAAGTAGTTGAGATCCAGATCTTGAGGTGTTGGTTCTGGCAGATATTGGTCATGCATTTGCTCTTCCTCTGAGAGGTCTTGGGTAAAAAAAATAATAATAATAATAAAAAAAAAGCCTTTTTGGCCTTACACTGGTTAAAAACTATTACTTACTTAACTATTAATTATTACTATTACTTATTATGCTAGAATGATACTGACCTGGAAGAAAAACCTTGTAGGTTTGTTTGTCCAGGTTTCTTCTGGATCTCTAACACACATGAAATACATTTCCAACATCCATTCAAAATATAATAATTTACTAATAAATATAATTCAACTCCAAGTCAAACATAAGTCAACCTCAATTGCAGGTGCTTAGAAGGTAAAACCACCACACTGTCAGTTTACAGTGTCTTCAAAGGACACACCCTTTGGCTACTTGAATGTTCAGATTTTGGAAAGAGACAACAGTAGGCTTGAAAGAGGGGTGAAGGAAGCATCTTTGTTAAAAGGGAAAAGCTTTGGGGAGGGGGACTGGTTTCAGCTTCCAAGGATCTCCAATTTGGTTACAGAACTCAAGAAATTACATAAGCAAATTCTGTTAGGTTAGGTTGCAGAGGAGTAGGCACCGATGACTTTGGATCATTTAATGAAAGTCCAAGGGGAACAGAGGCAAAAATACAAAATACAAAAAATACTAAAAACGAAACAAAAACCGATTAACGTCAGGGAAAAGAGTCGAGGGAAGCAAGAGACTAGAAAGCTACAAAACAAGAAACCAGCACTGAGTGAAGGCTCTGGTGCTCTTTTAGGCCCTGCACTCTGATTAGAAAGATTATCTTCACCTGTGTAGGCTACCCAGGTTCTCTACAAAGATCCTCTCTGAAAGAGATGCATTACTCGCCCTCACTAACACACAGGAACCCTGACAAATTCATTATGATTCAAATGGCCAAGCACATAGCTCACACAGCATGACTTGTTGGTCACTGATTTGCATCCGACTTGAAACATACTGATGAAGATGTACCTCCAAGCTGCTTAAAAACATCAACGTTCCAACTTCAGATTGTTTTGGTACAAGCTGACAGAATCGACAAAGACTCTTTAATAGGATCGAAATATCTTTAGATAAACTGAGTAAAAGTCTGATTCCCTCAGATCAAAGTCTGTGTTGCGGTTCATAAACAACAGCTCATACATTTCAGCACTGGTTATCATATGGTCACTATTCACTTGTTCGCCCACTTTACACGACAGTAAACACTTTTAAAAAATCATAAATCCTAAAAAATCCCAAACTATTTAGATGGGAATCCTTAAAACAACTTTGTCAGACCTGTAACGTCTATTGATTTCAATTTTTGGAAAGGTGGGATATCTCCAAAGTTCAGAAAAGTTTAGCCCAGCCAGTTTTACATCGATGTTCAGAGAAGTGTAGCACGGTCTGTTTAACATAATCTGATTCTGTGATTAGCCACCAGGTCCACTTATCAGTCTATAGAGCATTTCAAATATAGTAGCTACTCACTACACTCTCTATTAAGCATCCTCTCAGTTGGACTGATGCCCCTTGATGGCACTTGAGGATATAACTACACCCTCTGCTTTTGAGATGTCCTCCCCTCCCATTACCGGAACAGGAAGCTGTCGTCACCATGGTAGCAGTCCAAGCTACTGTTGCCATGATACACCGGCTGCTTGAGGACAAACGCTTATGCTGTCTAGAAGATGCAAATGGTTAATATGCGCCTTATGTGCATTAATACTGCTGCATCAACAGGTAAATCAATACGTGCTGTTGAGTTTAACCTTTGTACCCTGTAATGATAAATGATAATATCAAGGCTACTTTAATAGACCAGAGAAAATTATTCTTTGGCCCACATTTTTGAAAGTTTTCAGTTATGACTTTGTAACTAACAGTGCGATATCTTATCGAAACAATTGCACCTTTAACAAAATCACTTATACAGCCTATGTGAAATTATATTTCAACCTGGAGAGACTGAGACAAATAAAAGCTGCAATTAAAAAAGTTTCATTGACATGAATGAAATAAGTTATTTGGCGCTTGGGCCCCGACAGAAGAATTTAATCCTGTGAATTGGCATTCGCATGGATGTGTAACCTAGAAAAAGGGTTAGAGTAATCTTCCCCCGGTGGTATCACAGTCT